AGTGTGGAGAAAGTGTGGTAACTGGCTTCATTGAAAGGCATTGTGAAAAGGACAATAGTGATTCCGAAAAAGAATGGGAATCTTTTACAACATATTTACAGAAACAACAAAAATACATGGACTCGCTAGCAGGATTTAAATAATCATTGACAATTTTATTTACAGAGAACAAGAAATTTAACAATGTGACAACATAGTACTATATACAAACAGCAGAATGTAACATTTGACGTAATGAACCAGAAATGGAAGCTGAGGGAAGGCAATAGGGAGGGGGGAAATTGGAAACTGAATGTTATTGATATTGCATATTTGTTATGTGGAAAAAACAAATTAAAAAAAAATATTTTTTTAAAAAAGGCATTGTGTTTAAGACAAGGAGCCAATACGAACGTTTGACCTAGGGCCTTGGATCACTGTCACACAGGCAAAACACAACATGGTGTTTCTTTATTTATTGAAGGCATTTCCATGCCACCCTTATTTACTTATTTAGATTATCGTACTCGGACCACTCGCAAGAATGCAAATTGGTTTCTCATGAACACAGTGCCTTAAGAGGCAACAAAATCTCAGCAAAACCGACCCATTTTAGCAAAATGACTCCTTTTTCTTCACACAAAAGCAACAAACAAAAAACCAGTTATCTTAAAATGCAAGCAATCATTTCATGAGACACAGAGTGGTTTGCTTTGGGAACTTGTTCGCCGGGGAACCATGCAAAAGGCACATTCCCTTTGCTTGGCCTCAAGAAATTGCCACAACTCATGCATTTTCATTCCTTTGACACGTTTCAGTCATTTTTCTTCATTTTCAGACATTTAATTGATTCCAGATGGAGTTTCCTACAAATATCCTCTCTGTCCAATTTTATCTCCTGAGCCTGACAAGCTCTCCAAGCCCTCCTTTTCTTTTTAATGGCTGTATGCTGAAAGAGGGAGGGCGCTCTACCATTTGATTACCAAACAATTCAATACAGTGGTACCTCGGGTTAAGTACTTAATTCGTTCCGGAGGTCCGTTCTTAACCTGAAGCACCACTTTAGCTAATGGGGCCTCCTGCTGCTGCCGCACCACCGAAGCACAATTTCTGTTCTCATCCTGAAGCAAAGTTCTTAACCTGAAGCACTATTTCTGGGTTAGCGGAGTCTGTAACCTGAAGCGCCTGTAACCTGAAGCGTATGTAACCTGAGGTACCACTGTATTACCAAACATTTGCTTAGTTGGGTTGCTCAAAATGGTGTTCCAGCCGCCAGTGGACTGTGGCTGAATATGCACCATACATTTAACCCCCCCAAAAAAGAAAAGAATATCACAACTGGAGAGAGATCTGATGGAATGGAATGTAAAAGTGTCATCTAAAATGTATAAGATATTGTTGGAATGGGAGACAAAGGATGAGCAAGTAAAATCCTCAATTATACATTGGGCAATAGATATTGGTCATAATATAGATATGGAAGCATGGGAATGATTGTGGGATATGGATCTGAAATCTACAGCATGTTATGGTCTAAGAAAATTATATGAAAATGTTATATCGATGGTACCTAACACTGAGTAAATTAGCAAAAATGTATAAATCCAAGTCAAATAAGTGTTGGAAATGTAAAGAGAAAGAAGGTTATTTTGATCATATGTGGTGGTCTTGGAGTAAGGTTAAAGCTTACTGAGAAATGATATATAATGAATTGAAAAAAGAGGTTTAAAATAACTTTTGTGGAAAACCCCCCCCAAAGCCTTCCTTTTGGGAATTATAGGGACAGAACTACCCAAACTGTATGAAAATTTATTCATGCGACTACAGTGGCAAGAATGTTACGTGTCCAAAAATGGAAAGAAGAAGTCCCGGCGAAAGAAGAATGGATACAAAACTTATGGAGTATGCAGAAATGGTGAAACTTACCAGAAAAATAAGAAATCAAGATAACAAACTTTTTATAAAAGAATGGAAATGGTTTATTGAATATTTACAAATGAACTGTAAACAGTTAAGAACATTGGCAGGATTATTGTAAGAACCTGCAGTTTTATGAGTATATATTTAAAGTAGATGGATAAATGAGTAAATTAGATTAATTTGGATATGAATAAAATATTAAAAATAAATTTAAGGAACCACACAAAGAGGTAGAAGGAAGTCAAGTTTTGAAATGTTCAAATGATTGTAAAATTATTGAAATGAATAAAACTGAAAATCATAAAGAAAATTAAAAAAGAAAATAATATTGGGAATTGTAGTTTCTCAAGGATAATTGGAGTTGTACCTCTGTGAGGGTCAAACCACCATTCCCAAGTTTCTTTCTTGGAGGGCTGTGTGCCTTAAATGTGCTGTGCTTTAAATGTATGGTATGCATATAGTCTGTTTGGTTTACTTTTGTGGAGGTCATCATGGAAGTAATATTGCAGAGTTAATGAGTGCTGTGGTTTTCTGGGGTGTTTGTGGGTTGGACTTTTTCTGCATTTCCATTATTTATATTTCTCTCAGACCCTCAGGGGCAGGATGAGCATATCTCAATCAGAACACAGTTCCACCCATGAAGCTTCTGCTATTACAGTGTTACAGTGACAACAGAAATTGCATCTGCTAAACATTGACCCGCTTCAGTTTTCTTGTGGAATTCCAAAAATCTTGTCTTAAAAGGTAGTTTTTAGAAGGAGGCAGGGAGGACAGGCTTTCCTGCAAGGCATTATTTGGGTTGGGGATGAGGAATGGGATCCAGTCAGGGGATTAGTTCCTTTTTAAATATATATATATATAAATTTTATTAAGTTTTCTGTTTTACAATTTCAAATAAACATTTTACATACTTAAAACATCAGTGACTTCCCTTGTTTTCTTTCCATGGTTCATTTTGCATATCTTATATCCCTGCATATTTTACACAAACTATACCAATCGGTTTTCCATTATTACATCCGTCAAAAATTATTTACACTGTTGAATTTATCTTAATGCTGCCAGGGTTTTCAGCTGTGCACAATTATTTTCCATATATTCAATAAACGTTTTCCAATCTTCTTTAGACGTATGTTCTTCTTGTTCTATATATTAAGTCTGCAAGTTGTGCATATTCCGTCAACTTAAGTTGCCAATTGTCTTTTGTTGGGACCTCGGTCATTTTCCATTTGGGGGCTAACAAAACACAGGCCACAGTTGTTGCATACATAAATAACCTTTTGTGACACCTGGGAATTTCGTTCTGATTTATCCCCAACAGAAAAGACTCTGGTTTGGGGGAGAGGGAGGGGGCTTATCTTCCTTATCTTCCCCCATGCCACAAGTTTGATGGATGGGCAGGAATGCCCACCTGTCAATCACCAGATATCCCAATGATGTCTGGGGAACTATTTTCACACAGTGCATAGGCATTTGTGATCCTTGGCCAGTGTAAAGTTTGTGAAAATTAAACTCTTCCCAGTGTTTCTCTTACTTTGCCTCTCCCTCACTTTCAACTACAATGTTAGCGTAGAAATTATTGCTATAGCCTTACAGCCCTCTGGTGGTGTTCAACAGACATGATTTTTCATTTAGATACTAGATATATATCTCAATCCGACCAATCAACTCTTTAGTCAGTGCAGTCTGCCCCATCTTGAGGACAAGTCCAAAGGACATCTGAGATGGAAATGTACAACACAAGCACATATTGCGATTGAATCTGGATGGGAAAAGATGGAAGATGCCATCACTGCACACACACACCCTTCACTGACACCAGTTCATCTCTTCCTCTCTTGTTACCTTCCTAGTCCCTGGTAAATATACTGAATTGGATCCAGACTGGACCTTCAGTGAATAGAAGGTCTTCTACACATGGGAAGGACTAGTTCCAAAGGTGGCTGCTGCTGGACAAAGGAGGACAGAGGACATTTTAGCCGAATGCCCTGTATTTTATTTTATTTTTGTGCAAAAATGTCTATCCTCCCAGTGTTAGTTTTTGGTGGTGGGGAGAATAGGGGCCTCCCAATGACTCTCAGCACCCTTAACAAATGACAGTTCCCAGGATTCTTTGAACGAAGCGTCCTTCATCCTTGAAGTGGCGTCCTAGTGCTTTTAATGTCTGGTGTGGGTGTTGCCATGTTATAAGGCAGTCCTTAGGATGAAACAGGGGCGCGGGTGGCACTGTGGGCTAAACCACTGAGCCTCTTGGGCTTGCCAATCAGTTCAAATCTGTGTGATGGGATGAGCTCCCATTGCTCTGTCCCAGCTCCTGCCAACTTAGCAGTTTGAAAGCATGCCAATGCAAGTAGATAAATAGGTACCACTGCGGCGGGAAGGTAAACAGCATTTCTGTGTGCTCTGGTTTATGTCATGGTGTCCCGTTGCGCCAGAAGTGGTTTAGTCATGCTGACCACATGACCCAGAAAGATGTCTGTGGACAAACACTGGCTCCCTCAGCCTGAAAGCGAGATGAGTGCCGCAACCCCATAGTCACCTTTTACTGGATTTAACCATCCAGGGGTCCTTTACCTTAGGATGAAAACATTCCTGCGCCTTTAACAAAAAACCAAAAATGAAGCCAGCATCCCACTAGGCATCGATGAAATGTGACATCCTCATGCAAAAATCCCTGACTGAGATGGACAAAAAAAGAGAAAAAAGCAGTGGAATGTTTGGACGCATCCTGTAAAGCCACACAGCTTTTGTTTTCTGCCTCTCCAGCAAAAACAGGACATCTCCCTCCCTTTGCTTTGAATTGGGTTTCGCACAATTGAAACAGACAGAGAGAAAGAAAGCCCCAAAATGCTGACAGGATGGAAACACCGAGGTCGAGAAGGTGGGGCCGTTGGATTTTATTTAGTCTACTGCATCTAGCTAGGGTTTTAGAATCCTAAACTACAGAGAGGCAGGTCAGTCCTCGAATGTTGTGGCAGGAGAGCTGAGCGCATCCCCTTCCTTTCCATTCCCAGTCCCAGAAACATCGCGCCGTCAAACTGGAGAGAGAAAGGGAGTGGCACAGGGGATCTCTGGGCCCACACACGTCCGCCCAGGCCGCCATGTACAGAAGCAGCTACCTGCGTGAAGTTCGCAAGGAGAAATATGAGAGGTCGGATGCTTTCGAAGAGCTGCCCCACTCACCCGAGTTTGGCAGCTTCGCCCAAGCTCAGGGCCTGGAGAATCTGCAAGAGCTCAACGAGCGCTTTGCCAACTACATCAACCGGGCCCGGGTCCTCGAGCAGCGCAACGCCATCTTCCGTAAGCAGCTTGAGACCTTTCAGCGCATGGATGAGCTGGCCGGGCTGGAAGAGGCTTTCGCAGCTCAGATTGACCTGAACCGCCAGCGGGTTCGCGAACTGGCCTCCGACAGAGCTAAGTTGGAGCGGGAGGAGAAAGATGCTCAGCGTATGCTGGATGAGTTCCGTAACAAGTAAGTTGGCTGTGGGTGAGAGGAGAGGGAACACAGTGACGGAAACCAGAGTGCATGGAAACGGACGCGGGTGGCGCTGTGGTCTAAGCCACTAAGCCTCTTGGGCTTGCCGATCAGAAGGTTGGCAGTTCGAATCCCCTTGACAGGGTGAGCTCCCATTGCTCTGTCCCAGCTTCTGCCAACCTAGCAGTTCAAAAGCACACCAGTGCAAGTAGATAAATAGTTACCACTGTGGTGGGAAGGTAAACAGCATTTCTGTATGCTCTGGTGTTCCGTTGTGCCAGAAGCGGTTCAGTCATGCTGGCCACATGACCTGGAAATCTGTCTGTGGACAAACGCTGGCTCCCTCAGCCTGAAAGCGAGACAAGCACTGCAACCCCATAGTCGCCTTTGACTGCACTTAACTGTCCAGGGGTCCTTTACCCTTACCTTTATAGAATAATGTGGTTGGAACCCCCTGCAATGCAGGCATCACAGCTAAAGAATCCCTGACAGATGGCCATCCAGCCTCTCCTTTAAAAACTGTAATGAGGGTTATTCTTAACGTTTAGTTGGAATTTCCTTGCTTGCTATTTGAATCCATTGATTCAAGTGCTACCCTCTGTACTGGAGTCATAGATAAGGCTGCCTGTGGTTTTTGAAGAGAAGTGAAAACACACACACACACACACACACACACACACACACGTAATCACTAGGTGATGCCTGTGCATGTATTCATTTGGTGCTTGGCTACATTCTGAACCAATAGAGCCTCAGTTAGATGCATGTGGCTTAGATTACAAGGATAGTAGTGGAGATGAGGTGGACCATGTTCCCCACCTTGAGCTCCTTGGAGCAAAGGTGGGTTGGAAATGCAATGAACAAACAAATGAATAATAAACCCACTACATGAATTGTTGGGGACCTGGTTTTGCAGGTTTAGAAGCCCCACTCTGCACTTGACATTGATTGGTGGGTAGCAGAACCCCAAGGACTGTCGCATCGAGAGTGCCTGCCGTACGACAGTGTATAATTATTTTCGAGAAATAAATACCTTGCACAACTTAGCGATCTTTAGGATGCCTTTATGGCAGGACTGGCGACACTTTTTCAGCAGTGCAACAGATGTGCCCCCCCCCAACTGCCCATGGTGTCACATTCCAGCCAGGCAAAAGCCAGTGTTTTCTAACCCCCACCCCCATTTCTCTATCCTCGGTAAGGGAGAGACCTTATAACAGTTCAGAGGGCCAGATTGAGAAGTCGGAGGGCCACATTAGTCCTTGATCCTGATCCCTATTTTATGAAGTATTTTGTTTACAGCCATGGTTCCCAACATGGGGGCGGGCGGCAATTTGAGAATGAGTTATTGACAGTTAATGGCCTTTTAGGCTTCCCCCACGTGAATAGGAGTTCATTTTTTGAATAATAAGAATTATATGTCACCGGGGGAGAGGGGGAACAGGATTTTAGAGATGCTTAGGTGGGGCATGGCCAAAAGCAGCTTGGGAACCACTGGTCTACAGCAACAGTTGCCAGTTGATAATCTCAATCTTGCCTCCTGACACACATAAAATTGCCCTTCTTTCTTTTATGTTCTTTCATCATGTTCTCCCCCCCCCCCCCCTTATGTACCTCACTGAAAACAAAGACTGGATTTTCAATTGATCCACAGAAGTCCATGACAACTGACTAAATAACTAACTAACTGATAAAAATATAACAAACTAATAGCAGGGGTATAACAATTATTAGAAACACTGCCCCCCACGACGATATTATACCTGGTTTTAAAAACGTTTTTGTTCTATCTTGTAATTTCTGTTATAATATTATCAATTTTTTTCATCGTTATAAATGACGAATTATGACAAATTGTTTGTTTCTGCCATTATTCACTTTTACCTGGAAACAAAAAACAGCACATTGAGCCACTTACCCATTTCTTTTATCATCTTTATTATTTACATTTTCCTTTTTGCTTCTCTTTTTCCGTAGATATAAAAATGAATGTGAGTATCAGCAGATGTTGAAAACTACTCTTGAACGACTTAATAAGGTAAGTTCACAATATCAAAGGCTATCTGCTTCCCCTCAGCCAATGTTTCTTTCATGTGGTGTTCCTTGTTAGCAACCATGTCATGGGCACTGTTCAATAGCTGCCAGCAAAAACCAGGCAGTCACATGGCACAGGTATCACCATTCTGAAGTTGACATGCTTACTTGAGGTGTAACAAACTGCATTTTTCTAACAATACAGTGGTACCTCGGGTTGCATACGCTTCCGGTTACATACGCTGCATGTTACAGACTCCGCTAACCCAGAAATATTACCTCAGGTTAAGAACTTTGCTTCAGGATGAGAACAGAAATCGTGCAGTGGCGGCGCAGTGGCACCAGGAGGCCCCATTAGCTAAAGTGGTGCTTCAGGTTAAGAACAGTTTCAGGTTAAGACCTCCAGAATGAAATAAGTTCTTAACCCGAGGTACCGCTGTATTTAGTTTATTTATTTGAAAAATGCATAAACTGTCTTTTTTCCAAAAAAGGATTCTAGGGCAATATGCATAATAATAATAATAATAATACAGAAACAAACTACAAACCAACAATACAGTACAACAAAAATAACAGGAATAAACTCATTCAGTAACGTAATCTGAAAATATCATCCTTTAAAATGCTTCATCAAATCAAAAACTTCTAACCTGGTGCTGAAAAGAATACAAATCTGACCCTAGGTGCACCTCTCTCAAGAGGCTATTCCATATTTGGAGCCACCACAAAGACCCACCTAACTTTTGTACATACATTATGTACTTCTGTTCTGAATATGAAGCAGAATGACCTTATGGTCATAGTGCACCATACGCTTGTTCAGAAGGAGGCGTTCCTTCAGTTATTGGGGCCTCAAGCCATTTTAAGCTTTAAAGGTAAGCACCACACCTTGAATTGGGCTGGGTCATGAACAGAAAGCTAATGTAGTTCATCTGGAACTCATGTTTCATCTCATTGTTCAGCCCAGACACTGAGGTCCAGCTTCAAGGGCCTTCTGGCAGTTCCCTCACTGCGAGAAGGGAGGTTACAGGGAACCAGGCAGAGGGCCTTCTCGGTAGTGGCGCCCGCCGTGTGGAATGCCCTCCCATCAGATGTCAAGGAAATAAACAACAACATGACTCTTAGAAAACATCTGAAGGCCACCCTGTATTGGGAAGCTTTTTAATGTTTAATGTTTTATCGTGTATTTAATATTCTGTTGGGAGCCGTCCTGAGTGCCTGGGGAAACCCAGCCAGATGGACGGGGTATAAATAAGTTGTTGTTGTTGTTGTTGTTTGACATGGCTCCATCTAGCTAAAGAAGCCAGAACATTGGCAGCCAAATTCTGCACTAGTTGGAGTTTCCAGATGCTTTTTGGCCCCACATACAACACAATATAGGAATCCAACCTGGATTACTGTAGCAAGGTGGGCTATTTCTACGCAGGAAAGGATGCAGCTGATAAACCAAGTAAAGCTGGCAGAAGATGCTCCAAGCCACTGATGCATCTTGGGTCTCTAGTGATAATGTCGAGTCTTAAAAGCATTACCCACAAGCTGGGCACCTCTTCCTTCAGAGGGAACATCGGAAACCACAAGCTCACATCTTGTCGGGACAGTTTATGAGTCTTCGTCTATCCCATTGCCCAGATACTAAACTAAGGCCAATCGAAGAAGGACTTGTGGATCCCTCAAAAACAACCATGTAAGAACTGTGCAGGTATTATGAGGGCATGTTCATGCTTTGGAAAAGCAGCTATTTTAATATTAGAATTTATTCTCAAAGGAGAACAATGTTTTACAGCTATGTCCATTGCTCTATCAAGTTCTGTAGCACAAAGACCTTATCCCCCCCCCCGTCCAAAAAAGCATATTTCAGATTTCATTTGAAAAGAATTTGTTCTCAGGAGGTTTTATGTGTTTGCCATGGAAACAAGGTTTGTGCAAGAGCCTTGTTAAGTTGTGGGTGAACATATCAGACGACACAGTGATTCTTCAAACAGCTCTTGTTTATTCACAGGCCAGAACAGAACTGAACTGAAGAGTTCAGCCAGCCTGCTTATATAGAGCTCCACTAGAACGCAACAGTAACCATTTTCTGTAACTATCCAATCACTGAACGTCACTTTCGATCCCTTATTTGCATATGTGGACCTGAACTATCTACAGTATCCCCTTGCTGGCCCAGGGTGAGAACTTCAGTACATAACAAGCCTAGTGTTATACAGATATTGAGTGGGTCCTTTCCTTAAACAGACAATCCTGATAAAGTATTTTACAGGCCCTGGCTGATGTACAGACTTGCCTGTGATGTAATCTGCTACAGAGTTTTCCCTTTATTCTGAACCTTTAGATACCCAGATACCCAGAACTTGCTCATTCAATGCTTTATCCTACTGGGCTATTTTCTTACTTATGGGCTGAAAAAATGGACCCTATTTCCTATTTTGGATGGCTAATTTTTTGCTTTTCATGTTTATCTTCCTGTTGAAGCTTTAGAGTGCCTTTTCTATCTCTTTGGCAGATAGATTCTTTTTCAGTTCAATTGAAATAATTACCAGCATTCTGTCAATTATATTCTGATGTGTCGCTCCCCTGATGTGTTGCCGCTATCGTAACCGGAAAGTTACGTTTCCAGAGCGGTACGTAACTAGAGGGTCCACTGTATATATTATTATATTTTTAGCTTTTATGATACAAGTGCCTCTTTAAAAGAGGTGACCCACAGCATGATTGCCAACCACCTTCCTCTCTTGATAATAATAATAATAATAATAATAATAATAATAATAATTTATTTATTTATACCCCGCCCATCTGGCTGAGTTTCCCAGCCACTCTGGGCGGCTCCCAATCAAGTGTTAAAAACAGTACAGCGTTAAATATTAAAAACTTCCCTGAACAGGGCTGCCTTCAGATGTCTTTTAAAGATAGGATAGCTGCTTATTTCCTTCACATCTGAAGGGAGGGTGTTCCACAGGGTGGGCGCCACTACCGAGAAGGCCCTCTGTCTGGTTCCCTGTAACCTCACTTCTCGCAATGAGGGAACTGCCAGAAGGCCCTTGGTGCTGGATCTCAGCGTCCGGGCTGAACGATGGGGGTGGAGACGCTCCTTCAGGTATACAAGACCGAGGCCGTTTAGGGCTTTAAAGGTCAGCACCAACACTTTGAATTGTGCTCAGAAACGTACTGGGAGCCAATGCAGATCTCTCAGAACCGGTGTTATACTGATGAACACCCAGCCCAAACCCCCTGATGATCTCTCCCAGTGGCTTCATATAATATTAAAAAGCATGGGGGAGAGGACGGAACCCTGAGGCACCCCACAAGTGAGAGCCCAGGGGTCTGAACACTCATCCCCCACCACCACTTTCTGAACACGGCCCAGGAGAAAGGAGTGGAACCACCGTATAACAGTGCCCCCAGCTCCCAGCCCCTCTAGATGGTCCAGAAGGATGTTATGGTTGATGGTGTCAAAGGCCGCTGAGAGATCCAGCAGAACTAGGAAACAGCTCTCACCATCTTAAAGAAAGTTTTCCACAGTCTAATCCCTCCTCCCCTTTGGCATTTATGTGCACATAAAACTCTCTTGACTCATCAGCTCTCCTCTGAACCCCGTCACCCAAATAGCTGCTATGAGCAGTGCTGGTGTCAGACGTAGAGGTGTGATGGGGTTGTTGCACTGCGCAGGTGCCAACAGAGGGTAAAAGGAACATAACAATTAAATTGTGTATTGGACATGTGGCTGTGGCTACCAAGGGCTCATTTGCTTGCAGATGTAATTCAATCGAGGAAGTAAACACTTTCCTCTGACATAGGCTGACCTGTCACAAATTGTAAATATCAAATGGTTAATGCAATTCCCATGATGGCAGCTCGCAAGCAAGCCATTAGATGAAATTTGCTGCTAGAGAACATTTGTAGATCAGCCTGAATAAATATCAAAATTGCCCAAATGCATTTGTTCCCGGTGCATCTGCAAACACAAAAAGGAGTTGCACGGTTCAAATTAAAAATCAGTGGTACCAGCTCTTAGAAAGGGCAAAGCAATGAGCATATACTGTCACCTTTTTGAGAGGAAGATCACAAACACCTGGCTTCATTCGTGCACACAAATAGGATAGAAGCAAGCCTTCCAGGTTTTTTTCCCCTACCTGCACATCATACGAAACAGGTGCAGAATAGGCACTAGAAGGACAGGATATAAATCTCTCTCTGACTGAAATAAGCTGTTTATGTTTTTGCTTGCAAATGTTCAGCTCTTCTTAAGCTGTTTTTTTTCTTTTGAGAGGGGGTGAATGCTGCCTAATATATACATTTTTTACAAAGCAATTTGCCCTAAAGCAACACAGTTTCCCCTAAAACAGTATGTTATTTTCACTAATATGTAGATTCCTCAATATGTGTGCATTTTTCCACTTCGCTGGATAACTGCATTGCAAAATAATTGTAAAGGCTAGCTGACTGGATGTGTGAGTTTTGTTTGGTTTTGTTGTGCAATTTATCCTTTTGCTGTATTTGAAGTAGTCTGAAGTACAACATCAAATTAATGGCCTTCTGATAGCCAATATACTATTGAAATATTATTGATTGATTGATTGATTGATTGATTGATTGAATTAATATACCGCCCTCTACCCGGAGGTCTCAGTATCTGGGCAATGGGATGGACGAAGACTCAAACTGTCCTGACAAGGTGGAAGCACTGTGAGTTTGTGGTTTCCGATGCTCCCTCTGAAGGAGGAGGTGCCCAGCTTGGGAATGCTTTAAGACTTGGCGTTATCACTAGAGACCCAAGAGGCTTCAGTGGCTTGGAGCATCTTCTACCAGCTTCACTTGGTGTTTTGTACTCAACGGTTTTTAAATACATTGAACTTAATTTTGCTGAAGGTCGAAATTCAGACATTTGTTGCATTTTAATTGGCTATACCTTATGCAATGAGACACCATTTAATCACATCCATCACCTTTAGACTGGTGTATTAAGACTTTGAAGACCAAAGGTTGCAGCAGAATGTCCACAGAAGAGCTGGAAGTGTTTTGCTTGATTAGTTTTTTTCTGAGAATGTGGACCGGAAACAGTATCCCGAGGGATGTACCTGAGTAGATTCAGAAATCAGGACTTGCCAATGAAAGGAAGCATTAATCAACAGCTCTGCAAACCTGTCAGGTTCCTATCTTGTATCTAACGCTTGTGGGAAAGAATGTTGATTAATCACTTGCTGAAATCACCTTTTAGGAGTAGGAGTCTGGGGAAAGTATTGCACAGAAACAATAATGCAAAGGGTCGGGGGAGGGGGAGAGACTCATGGGCCAATCTACTCTAGTCATGCTCAACTTCTCACAGGTCTGTGCGCTCCTGCACACCAAGGATCAATGTATGGGGTGGCATGGCTGGCTCCAGTGACAAGGGAGACCCAGACTCCCCCTGAATCTTGCAAGACCTTACCTGCTTTTGTTTCGCCTTGTAGGATCTTGGGGAGAAGATGGAGCATCAGCCTTAAAAGGGTCTTGGTGTTCACCAAACTGGGCCTTTGTTTCCCTCAATGAGCTTGCAGGACCAGGCGTTGGGCTCCCCATATCTCAACTCATGCAAATAAGAGACCAATAAGACTGGTTTGGGGATCAAAACAGGCCACAGCTTTATTGAATACAGATGAAAGAGGTTTGGCTTGGGCATGGGGCAATCTAAATACTTCTGGCCTGCCAGCCAGAAGTGACGCGTGGCCAATCCAGTTCTGAAGACTTACATCAAATAGGGTGACCTTTGGCCCTGGCCCTACCAGCGCATGCAGACATGGCCACTCCCCCTGAATCCCTGTAAGGGGATACTTCAGCGTTAGGAGGGGCAGGCAGAGACTACCACCTCCTCTCCATCCAAAACAAAGGATTGGCCCAATGCCCAGCCAGTTGTGACGATTGCTATGAGGTAGGCAAAACCACTGGGTTTGGTGCCAGTTAGCCCGGTGGGCAAATTCTTATCCGGCCCCATAGAGAGTGGTGACCGCCGTAGCCACAGCAAAGTCGTTGACTATCAGCTTAAACCGAAGGTGGGCGGGCGGGGAAACCCGGCGAAGGAACGAACAGGTAGTTCCCCAGGTGTGGGCAGCTTAAATGGGGCAAGAGGCGGATCTGAGGGAAGCCCCCTGGGCACAGCCCGCATCCCCAGACTGCATCCCCATTCGCCAAAGCAGGGTGCAGGCTTTGATAGGTGGAGGGGGCTTAAGCCCTCGCTGCCTATCAGGGAGGGCACTGCTGTTCCAGTTCTCTCGTCGGGGCCCCAGTGAAGCCTCTGATGCCCTGCAATGCCGCCGCACCAAGAGGGGTGAGCAGACTTCCCCAGCAACCCTCACTTGGTCTAAAGTCTTTCCCTGAAGCTTTACGTGGTCTCTGGTTTCTCATGGCTGGAGTACAATTTGACTCTTCTTGATTGGCTCTTGGTTGTGAGGTGAGGTTGAGTAGTGTGAGATTCAAACATCCAGCACACTTCCCTGTGCCTCTGGACTTTTCCCAGCTTCGAGCAGAGTATCGCAAACAGCAGTGTGTGTCTTGTGTGGGTGTAGAAATAACAGTCCATACACAGCTTCTTTCTAATCTGAGAAGCGGTTTATTTCCAGCAGAGAAATAAATCATCCAGGAGAACAAGCCGGCATGATTGACTCCCTCAGAGCACAAAACAAAAAGTGTTCTGTCTCACATAACAAAGAACAATCCTGAACACTCTGAGCTATTAACCCTGTAAGCTCTGGTTCTCCTCACAAGTAGGATACCCTTATGGGGTTCTAAGCTAATGCACCAGCACTTGGCCACAGCTTGGGCAGGTGGGGCCGAGCCTGCTGTCGTACATGTCAGGTTGCTAGCGCCTGGCCCTCACCACACTGGGTCCTCTCTGCTGGTCAACTCTCAAAGTCATTCCTCTGTGGGTGTGCTGGGATGGGTCCCCCCCCCCCAAACAGAACACCTAGGCTTGAAACAGAAAACAGACCTGTGCTACAATGCAATGCCAAGCCTACTTACCTTGCTGCAACCAATGAAATTATGGCCTCTTTTAACTCAAGTATCTGTTTTGGTCTGATGGTTACCCAGCCTTTTGTTTTGGGATCACCTTGATGCGCCTGCACCACAAAGCACAAGTACTGAATCCAGATATATGTGAGTGCTCGCATTCTGATCCACATCACAAGATGCATGCGGCTAGATTGGTGGGTCTAGAATGAGTTTCACTATGTGACTGCATCTGAAGCTACTGTCAGAGATGCCGTTGCTCTGTATGTGGCTTTCTTTTGCTGGAAGGGGTGTTGGTTCATGAGAAGAAACAGGGAGGGAATCGCCAAAAGGCCCTCAAAGCTTGACCTCAAAGCTGAATGATGGGGGTTGAGACTCTCCTTCAGGTATACTGGGCCGAGGCCATTTAGGGCTTTAAACGTCAGCACCAACACTTTGAATTGTGCTTGGAAACATACTGGGAACCAATGTATTTCTTTCAGGACCAGTGTTATATGGTCTCGGCTGCCACTCCCAGTCACCAGTCTAGCTGCCGCATTCTGGATTAATTGTAGTTTCCAGGTCACCTTCAAAGGTAGCCCCACATAGAGCACATTGCAGTAGTCCAAGAGGGAGATAAGCAGAGCATGCACCACTCTGGCGAGAAAGTCTGCGGGCAGGTAGGGTCTCAGGCTGTGTACCAGATGGAGCTGGTAAACAGCTGCCCTGGACACAGAATTGACCTGCACCTCCACGGACAGCTGTGATTCCAAAATGACTCCTAGGTTGCGCACCTGGTCCTTCATGGGCACAGTTACCCCATTCAGGACAAGGGAGTCCTCTACACCCGCCTGCTCCCTGTCTCCAAAAACAGTACTTCTGTCTTGTCAGGATTCAACCTTAATGTGTTAGCCGCCATCCATCCTCCAACCACCTCCAGACAGGACTTTCACCACCTTCACTGGTTTTGATTTAAAAGAAAGGTAGAGCTGGGTATCATCCTCATACTGATGAACACCCAGCCCAACTCCCCTGATGATCTCTCCCAGCGGCTTCATATAGATGTTCATATAGTGCCAGTGGGCTAATGAGTTCACTGTTTTGCTGCTGATTCATCTCTCAAAAAGTGATAGAAAAGAATGCAGAAATGTTGAGCAAATGGCTGGTCGCTGGCTTAGAATGTTCTGGTCGTGGTCTGTATTAATCTCATTTGCTCACAGTGCAGATAACAAGGCCCAGAGCAAAAGCCCATGCTAAGTTTTTATCTTTATCATTCCTGGCACATCAGCAGACCTGGCCAGTTCTGCATTCCATGATATAATGGAAAGAGCAAGCATCTACACATTTTTGAACAGCACAGCAGACGCTTTGGATTAGCTTGTTGGGCCATGTCACAAAAGCTGTTCTCTTTGAATGGCTCCCCATCACATGTCCTTGCCAGGAATGTCACTGTTTTGCAACCCCTAAATATGGTGGTTCTGTCTGAGCACTGGCAGCTGAACGTTTGAGGCAGATAGCACATCTTGGGCTGCATGTGATTGGCTGTGCATGTGTAAAACTGGAACACTCATTGATGGGTTGGTTTTACTTACACGCAACTGTGCCCAAAGCGGTTCACAGCAAACATTCAAAACATTAAAACAGGGAACACTGGAAATATAAATATACAAAATACAGAACGTGTCGGTAAAGTCAAAATAACAAAAAGAAATGCTTTTATTACAGGAAGCTGATGAAGCTTTGCTGTGTAATCTGGAACTACAGATTGAAACACAGTTCTTGCAGGATGATGTTAATGCTGCAAAGGACAGATACAAAAAGGTAATTACTGTGAACTAACAGAGGAGCTTTGATTTCTTCTTAGTTTTCTTTGCTTGCCAAGAAGTGCAGACAACAGAGAGTAGGCCCTTGACCTCTGGCTGACAAGGGACCTTCAGCCAATGAACAAAGTTCTATCTCCCATTTTCTTCCCCCTCTATTTATGGCACCTTCATAGCAGATTAAAAGCCATAGTGGGATGATATAGTGGAAGTTGATCTACCTTCTGGTGCTACAGAGCTGTGGCTATGAACAGAAAACCTTGGGGGAGAAACCCTAGTGGGGGGACCCCAAAACAAGCCAGTGGGGACTATGAATGGTCAGTGGCCAAAGAATGCAAGATGACTTGTTGAAGGAGGGGAGTAGAAAACCAGAAGGATGGATCTCTGAACAGGAGGTATTCCACAGTGCAATGTTTTGTTGCAGGTCTCACTTGTCTAGAACAATTCCTTATTGACCTAGGATGGATCTACACACGGGGGGGGGGGGAGGATTGAGTTGAGAGGGGAGTCCCTCGAACGGAGATCCTGCTTTTGATTCTTTCAAATGTAAATCATTTTGCTCTGCCACAGAACCTCATGGAAATACAGACCTACGTCAGTATTTTACAGCAAATAATGCAAACGACTCCTCGCGTATCCACCATCGCAGCTGGAGCTAGCGAGGTAAGTGTTTTATTTCACCGACAATGTTTGTGGCACGTTAAAAGAAATGATCCGAAGGATCCGATTTTCAAATAGTAGTAAAAGGGTAAAAGAAAAATGGAGTGATTGAGGATTGGTGAAGCAACGTTTGGAGGATTACATGGTTATTCTTGGCGGACAACCATTGCACAGCAGTATATTGCTGTTCTTTTTAACATAAATGTTATTTTTTCATTTTCTGTTTTACATAAAATAATGAATTAAATACATCAACATATAATCCCTTTTGACTCCCCCACCCCCAATTGTGGATCTTAATGTAATGATTTTCCCTTCTGCATCTCTTTCATAACTGTTTTTATAAATCCCTTGTCAATCCAGAGCTCAAATTTTCACTACAAGTTTTCCGTCAACTCTATCAATGTACGAAATAGTTTACAATAGCTTTTTTCAAACAAATTATAGACTTTCCCCATTCTTTATTAACGACCTCCTCTTCCTAGTTTCTCATCCTGTACGTTTTGCCATCTCGGAATAATTCATCAATTCAGTCTGCCACTCTTCTTTAGTCGGAGTTGTACCATCTTTCCATTTCTGGGCTAAGAGAGTCCATGTAGCCGTGGTCGCGTACATAAATAGTTTCCTTTGGTCCTTCAGGATCTCTGGTCCTACAATACCTAAAAGAAAAGCTTCTGGCTTGTTAGAACATTGTATATGTATATTGCTGTGCTTTGATCTCAGCGTTATCGTCTCTCCCTGCCCTCATCTCCCCTCTGAGTTGAGCTTGCAAATGGACAGCTTCCACCCAGTGGCGGAGGAAGGGTGTGTGGTGGGGGCGGTCCACCCCAGATGTCATCCCTGGGGGGGTGACATTGCTGCCCCACCCCCTGGGACACTCGTCATGGGTGGCGCCCCCTGGGACACTAGCCCCACCCCACAGGGTGGCTAGCCACGCCCCCGGGTGCCGGAGCAGCTAGCTCCGCCTCTGCTTCCACCATTTTGAGGAAAGTGACACACAACCAATGTCTCCCAAACCACACCCACCAGCCCCCACCTTCTCCATACAAAAATCAGGTTGATGCAATCCACACGCCACACCACTGATCATATTGGGGATCCATCTGGATCTTTCACAAAAGTCAGATTTTTCTGTGGTAGAAGAAAAAGTGGTGCGCGTGTACACTATTCTGAAACACGAGCGGCATAATGGCAACGTTGTGTGGCGGCATGCAAAAAAATCAAATTCAAAAGAACGACAAGATGGAAATGGTAAATGGCAAGCTTCGAAAGGCTCAAAGCTTGCATTACTTGGCTTTTTCTCTGGCTTCACTACTGTTGGCCTCTCTGCCTTCCACCTTACGAGTCTGAAGGGACGTTCGCCACCCCTGTTCATGACAGAATGATGGAGATCATAGTCAAACAACTGCTTGTAGGGATGGATCAATTATCTGAAGCAAAGGTGCTCAGATATGTGAACGCCCTTGCTCAAATTAGGGGGCCTCTCTTATGCTGAGTGACCCATCCGCCACAGTGTCATCCTTCCCCAGGGAAGAAATTTTTGGCTTATTTATTTGTATCCCCCCTTTTCTCCAATGAGTTCAAGGTGGTGCATGTGGTTCTCCCTCTTTCTGCCTCATCCTCACAGCAACCTTGTGAGGTAGGTCAGGCTGAGAGACAGTGACTGGTCAAGGCCACCCTGTGAGTTTCATGGCTGTGTGGGGACCAGAACCCCTGTCTCCCAGGTCACTCAAATCACTGCACCATACACAGGAAGTGAGTAGCAGCGAAGGAGGAGTTGTGACATTTTCTTTTTTCCCCAAGACATATTGTCAATCGGTCAAATATCCCTCCTAGGTTTCCCAAGGGATTGATACAAATGCAGTTCCGTGCATCTAAATATATCCTCCCATGAAATCAACCTAGTTCTGTATCACTTTCCAAGAGCTGCCCTTTGAAATCCTGTCAATATTTCTTGCTTGTACATTAATGGTCTTTTGCTATTCATCATTTCACCACAATGTGTATCCCTTCAAATCAAGTACAATTTCTGAAAACCGCATGACTTTGATAGAATTCCTGCTGGAAGCACTTGGCCTAGTCGTGCTTTTTTCATGTCCTTTTCCATGCATAATCAGATTTTCGGTGGTACTTGCACACAATCCGATTCCCCCAGCGCAACCCTCTCTCTTTCTGCTTTCATCTTAGGAGAAGCTGATAACTGAGAGGAGGATACCGATTCTTCAAAGCCAGTTAGAAGAATACAAGAGCATCCTATGTCAGCTCCAGGCTCAGAAAACTAAACTGCAGACTGAGGTACTTCCCCCAGAAATATAGTTGTGTTAGGCCTGTGTACACACTCCTGCTTAAACCACTGAGCCTCTTGGGCTTACAGATCAGAAGGTCGGCAGTTCAAATCCCTGCGATGGGGTGAGCTCCCTTTGCTCTGTCCCAGCTTCTGCCAACCTAGTAGATAAATAGGTACCACTGCAGCAGGAAGGTAAACAACGTTTCTCTGTGCTCTGGCTTCCATCACGGTGCTCTGCTGTGCTAGAAGTGGTTTAGTCATGCTGGCCACATGACCCGGAAAGCTGTCTGTGGACAAACGCCGAATCCCTTGGCCTGAAAGCAAAATGAGCACTGCACCCCATTGTCACTTTCTACTGGACTTAACTGTCCAGGGGTCCTTTACCTTTTTACCTACACACTCCTGTTTACTCTGCATCCAGTATGCCCCAAAACTGTTTTGGGAACCTGTGTACACACGCTGTTAGCCACAACAAACCGTGTCTATCCTGTGGTTTCTTTTGAAATACTGTGTTTTCATGCATTTCCACACCTCCAAGCTAGCTTTGATTCAAGCCAATAATTTGCACACCATCTAGGATAATTCTGCATCAGTTTGCAAGATGACTGCTTGGGTGTGTTTGACATTTTAACACAGCTGCCTTCACAGGCAAGAGTTAAAGAGCTAAATTCATGGGATTTCTCCCGTTAGATTTTTTTGATCCAAAGCCAGTTGACATTCTCATCCAAGAGAGATGGGAGGTATAATAAAATTTTAACTTCTCCAGCCTCTGTCAGGAGTGCTCTTGTTCAGGACTGTACTTGGTTCGCAGTGTGGATGAATGAGTTCAGTATCTTTAGTCAAGGCCCCAGTGGAACAATATACCAAAGTCAATAGCTAATATGGGGTCAGGGGGAAATTATCATGTCAAGTGATACATTATTCCTTTCATCCTCCTCCCCACTTTCTCAGCAGATAAATGATCCTGCAAAACGGGAGGGGGGGCGTATTCAGCCCAGCTTTAATCTGAAATGCTTTCAACACTTTGAAGCACTAGACTAGTGGCCAAAATTGTGGGAACCTTTTGGGGAAAGTGTACTTCTGAGGTTTGATGGCTCACAACACCACTTCTTTTTGGATTAATACCATAAAATTATATATCAATGGAAAGATAATTTAATGAAGAATGTAATGCGACTAAGTTTGTTCAATTATCTGTATTCTATAAAAAGGAAACACAACTTGCTTAGGTTGATATGCAGTAGCTTTTCTTCATTCGAATGTAGCCAGTGAGTGTGAGTGTTTAGAGAGTACAGTGGTACCTCGGGTTACAGACGCTTCAGGTTATAGACGCTTCAGGTTACAGACTCTGTTAACCCAGAAATATTGCTTCAGGTTATGAACTTTGCTTCAGGATGAGAACAGAAATTGTGCTCCGGCAGCGTGGCGGCAGCAGGAGGCCCCATTAGCTAAAGTGGTGCTTCAGGTTAAGAACAGTTTCAGGTTAAGTACGGACCTCTGGAACGAATTAAGTACTTAACCCGAGGTACCACTGTATATTAAAAAGTTAACTCATTTAGTTAGCTCATGCATTCATGCCCAGTCAAACATATGCATTTGTTGCCATACATACATATATGTGCAAGGAAGGAAAACCTACAAGTGGTTCATTATCAGGGCAACTGGATTTAACCCAGTTCTCCCAATGGAGGGATGTAAAAACTGGAGTCCCCCAAGCATCAGTCCTGGGACCCATGCTTCTTAATTTGCTCATAAATCTAGGGATCTAGGCTTAGCAATGAGCAGTGAGGCAGCCAGGTTTGCTGATGATACCAAATCGTTCATGACGTTCAAAACAAAGAGGCATTGCGAGGAGCTCCAAATTGTTCTCTCCAAACTTGGTGAGCAGGTAATAAAATGCAAAAGACAATTAAATGTAAGCAAGTGTAAAGTGATGCAAAAACCCACACACCCTCATTTCACACAGACATACAGTCACAGGTCTGAATTGGTGGTGACTGACCAGCATAGCTGTCAACATTTCCCATTTTAAAGGGAAATTCCCTTATTCCAAATAGGATTCCTCGCAAGAAAAGGGAAAAGTTGACAGCTATGCTGACCAGCAGTGAGACTCGAGGGTCATATTGCATAGTCCAATGAATATACTTACTCAGGGTGCAGCAGCTGTGAAAAAGGCAAATGCCATGGTAGAGATTGTTGGGAAATAGATTGAAAATAAAAATAATGTCTATCATGTGGCCACACTTTGGATAGTGTGTACATTTCTGGTTGCCTCACCTGAAAATGATATTATAGAGCTGGGGGGGGGGGCGGAGTTCAGAAAAGGGCTGCCAAAAAGATCAAAAAGATCCCCTACGAGGAAAGTTTACAGGCATTTGGGGCTTTTTAATTTAGAGAAATGAGGGACGCGGGTGGTGCTGTGGGTTAAACCACAGAGCCTAGGACTTGCTGATCTGAAGGTCGGCGGTTCGAATCCCCGCCACGGGGTGAGCTCCCATTGCTCGGTCCCAGCTCCTGCCAACCTAGCAGTTCGAAAGCACATCAAAGTGCAAGTAGATAAATAGGTACCACTCCAGCGGGAAGGTAAACGGCATTTCCGTGCGCTGCTCTGGTTCGCCAGAAGTGGCTTAGTCATGCTGGCCACATGACCCGGAAGCTGTACGCCGGCTCCCTCGGCCAATAAAGCGAGATGAGCGCCACAGCCCCAGAGTCGGCCACGACTGGACCTAATGGTCAGTGGTCCCTTTACCTTTACCTTTATTTAGAGAAAATGCGAGTAAGAGGAAACATTATAAAAGTGTAGAAAATTATTTTTGGTGTAGAAAAAGGGGATGGAGAAAAGTTTTCCCCCTCTCTCATCATACAAGAACTCGGGGACATCCAATTGTGCTGAATGCTCAAGACAGACAAAATAAAGTACTTATTCATCCAGTGCACGATTAAACTACGGAGTTTGCTCTGACCAGAGGGAATGATGGCCACCAACTTGAATGGCTTGAAAAGAGGTTAAACAAATTGACAGGGCTATCAGTGGCTTTTTGCTATGATGGCTGTGCTCTGCCTCTGCCATGCTTTTCGTACACCAGTTTTGGGGGAATCACAAGTGATTGTGCTCCCACTTGTGGTCTCCTCGTTGGCATCCGGCTGACCACTATGAAAACCAAATGTCAGGCTAGATAGGCTACTGGCCTGATTTGGCAGGACTATTCTTATGTTGTTATGAGCTATGAGGGTCCTTTGCTTTGCTTTTCGTTTGTGTTTTTTTTTGGGGGGGGGCGGTACCAGCCTGATCCAACTCTCCAAGTCTGGTGATTGAAAACATAGTAAAGGTAAATGGACCCCTAACCATTAGGTCAAGTCACGACCGACTCTGGGGTTGCGCGCTCATCTCGCTCTATAGGCCGAGGGAGCCGACATTTGTCCACAGACAGCTTCCCGGTCATGTGGCCAGCATGACTAAGCCGCTTCTGGCGAACCAGAGCAGCACACGGAAACGCCGTTTACCTTCCCACCGGAGCGGTACCTATTTATCTACTTGCACTTTGATGTGCTTTCGAACTGCTAGGTTGGCAGGAGCAGGGACTGAGCAACAGGAGCTCACCCCGTCACGGGGATTCGAATCGCCAACCTTCTGATCGGCAAGTCCTAGGCTCTGTGGTTTAACCCACAGCGCCACTCACGTCCCTAATTGAAAACATATTCCAAGGTTTTATGGAGGTACACGTTAAAATAAAATTAAAGGTGATTTCATCTATAATGTACTCTTCAAGGCTACCTGAGTGGTGCCCATAGAACCTTTTTTTAAAAAAAAAAAATAATGTGTTCTTGGAGCAGCAAGAAAGGAATAAAATGTGTCCACAGCAGGCAAAGCCTTTGCTTTTCAAGTGATTGTTCGCCACCTGGTGGCAAATTTATATTCCACAAAAACGCTTTTTGGCGAAGGATTTTTTGCTTCACCAGATTGTCACGTAACCTAATCTGCAAAATACTTGCTTCCTCATTTGTCCTTGTCTCTGAAATTAACTTTAGTTTCTGCAGTCAGGTCAAATCACTGCGTTCTAGAGTTTGCTTTGTTGCCCGTGTTTTCATCAGAACGACCTGTGGCAAAGTTTTGCAACAAAACTCAAACATAACCTGCCCAGTGTAAATAGGCAAAGCACAGCCCCTGGCTTAAAGTCAGTGAACTTATGACTGAAACAGGCAGACAGTGACCAGCTGAGAGGGTCCCAGTGCAAAGTTTTCCAGGTGATAAATGCTCAAAGTCCTCTCTTTCATTTCCTTTTTTTTTTTTTTAACAGACAACAATGCTGGAACAGGCTATTAAAAACACCCAGGAAAGCTATGACGATGAGATTCAGTTGTACAATGAGCAGATCGACACTCTGAGAAAGGGCATCGAAGATGCTGAGAGGACCTTGGAAAAATACACCAACGACTGCCGCCAGCTCTCCATTTATAAGCAGTCTCTGGAGAGTGAACTTGAGCGCTACAAACGTATTATTGAAAATGAAGAAAGCAGGTGAGAGATTTGGGGGGTGCTGGAGATGTTCATGGGTTCAGTGTATTGCTGTGTCTTTAAGAAGCCTCTTTCAAACCAACCAACAAACCAAAAACGACATTTGAAGTTTCCTATGAAATTGGTGGTACCTTGGTTAAAAGCGGTCCTGCTATAGGCAGAGTTAGGTGGCTGCCTCACAGAGATGATGCAAAGAGCAATAGGCAGAGCTGCATGTAGCATGTGCTTTAAAGATAAAGGGACCCGCGACTGTTAGGTCCAGTTGTGGACGACTCTGGAGTTGTGGCACTCATCTCATTTTACTGACTGAGGGAGCTGGCGTACAGCTTCCGGGTCATGTTGTCAGCATGACTAAGCTGCTTTCTGGAGAACCAGAGCAGCGCACGGAAACGCCATTTACCTTCCCGCTGGAGCGGTACCTATTTATCTACTTGCACTTTGACATGCTTTCGAACTGCTAGGTTGGCAGGAGCTGGGTGTTGGGTTGAAATCACGACAGACGAATGGTGGGTGTCAAAGGAGAGACGTCTGCCCGGGGCAAGCCCCGGGAACTCTCTTTTATTGAATATTACAAACATTGCCACAGGTGTGCTTGTGGCTGATTGGCTGATACAAACACAAAGCATCTTGTTGCTGATTGGTTAACATAGGTACAAGGCGGGCATTACATATGACATCAATCAGTGATAGTTCAAAAGACTGGGAACGGAGCTGGAACTAGACAGGCATGAAACCTCCTAATTAAATTATAACTAAAGATTGATATTGAGAGAACATAACATGAAGGAATACAACAATCACGTTCTGTAGATGTGGTCAGCAATGCATTAAGAACAGGTCAGGATACACTGTTTCATGAACTCAATGGAAACTGTTCAGAACATTCTCAGACTTATGTGCAGAGGCAAAAACTTCCCAGAATGTAAGAGAGAAAAGAAGCAATAGTGCTCATAGTAAGCATAGAAAGATTGCATAGTAAGAGTTCCCATAATGCCACAGTTATGTGCAGTAAGAGAACTGCAGAAAGAGAACTTCCCTTCATCTCCCCCTTTCTTTTCTTGTTTGCGAGGCATTCCAGGTGGATAAGGCAAAAATACTTCGGGATTAGTGGTGTGCCAGCGAATGCCCGAAATAAGCCTGCCAGGGTCGATGGGACAAAAGTACTTCAGGATACGTGGTTTGCCAGCGCATGCCCAAAATAAATCCGCCCACATCTCCCCTAAGGTTCACTGTTGGTGTTGCCATTTCGCAATGTAAGCAGCAAGCAGTTTGCTGGGTGGTGGAGGGGGGGAGAGAAGCCGAGAGAAAAGACTCATGAGGCTGGGAACGCATTGGAGGAAACAGCATAGTAAAATAAAAATAGAAATTATGAAAATAGCATATTGAAAGAGACTACGAAGCCAAGTAAGGTTAGGCAACCAAGCAGTAAGCCACTGGGTGAAAGAATCCCAGAGGCCAGAAAATCCAACGTCCTGTTTAATGTGATGTGTAAGATTTTGCAAATGAGAGATTTGGCTTTGAATGGCTCTAGAATTGTCAGTAATATTGAAACAGCACATGTCATTCACTTGTTCACAGCCATAATGATGAAGCATCAGCAAATAATCTATAGCACGATTTCGTAAAAGTCCATTATATAGTTCACTGTTCTTTATTCAAAAGGGGGTTATATAATGTAAAAGTCCATTTTGTAAAAGGATTTTGTAAAAGTCCATTGTGGAGTGCACTGTTCTTTATTCAAAAGGTGAAGGGCTTGTGAAATATAATTCAGAGTTTTTGCTGCATAACAAGCTAAAGAAGTAATGTTCATACGATTCCGTACAGCCAATCCAGGGACTCCTAAGAGAGAAACAGCTAAAGAGATATATTCAGACCTACTGAGAAGAGAGACAAAAGCATCACAATCATTAGTCAATTCAATATTGCAGTGATATCGAGAGCGGGATAAATGATGCTTCTTGGGTAAAATGATGGACAAACGGCTTAAACAGCAAGGTGTGCCATGGCTGATGTTTGCTGGAATGTAATTAAACGTATAGCCAGGACACGACCAGAAGATTTCCAGTTGAGGGGAAGTGCAAGCTTACTCATTAAATTGAATGGTAGCTTGTAATTGTTGTAGTAAGTCTCTTCCCCACAGATTGAGGTGGATTTTCAGCACACAGGGCTGGATGTAAGCAATGGTTTCAGAGCTATCAGGCAGAGAAACAGGCAGCCACTGTACGCTTTTGGAAGAGGTTTGGGGGCCACCCACACCCCAGACTGCAGAGGCAGACTCAAGGGGCCACGTGGGGTCCCAGCAACTACTAGAAATTACAGAAACGTCTGCGCCTGTGTCAATCAAGCCTTCCAGCACAATACCATTGATTTTATACTTACGAAGAAGTTTCTTCTCACCAATCCTCTGGACTACAGCTAACAGCTGTGGAGGGAAAGAAGAGAGCTCGTGCAAATTAGTATCCATAATAGAAGCAGTAGGATGAGAAGGGAGCACCACCAAATGCGCCCAAGACTCACCCTTTTTAATTGCATGGGCATATGGCTCCAGAGTTGAACCATTATTGTGCCTACATAGTCAGGATCCAGAACTCCAGGAATAACCTGGATGCCTTCCTTTGCCGCAGAAAATTTGGGTAAAATTAAACCTGCGACTTTAGGAGGCAGGGGACCTGCCAATTGAGTGGGCATAAGCACAATTTCACCAGGTAGAACAGAATCTTTGGTCTCTTGATTGATCAAATCAATTGCAAATTCAGAGGGTGTGTTCTTTGAAAAGTTTGCAGCAGCAGAAATTAAAGGCGGAAAGCTCTCTAATTTTCCTGGCCCGAGAGTGGGGCCGCAATGGAGTTTCCCGAACTCCTGCATTGATTAGCCCAATGATAGCCTTTGCCACATTTCGGGCATTTTTTGCAGGTATAGCTTTAGAGGCAGAACCATCCTTGTGTGCCCCCCCGCCTGGGGCTCTGCATTGCTTGGCAAAATGGCCTGGGCGCTTGCAATTAAAGCAGTTACCAGTAGGCTTAGTGGTTGCTTGGATTGCGCCGGCAAGCAAGGACATCGCATGGCTCTGGCTACCGACATCCGCACAAGCTTGAATCATATCGGCCAGTTCATATTTAGGGCGATGTATGATTGACTGTAAAGCTTTCTTGCAATCAGTGTTTGCGTTTTCAAAGGCCAATTTTTTCATCAATTCATTTTGAGCAGTGGTGTTATCAATCTGCCTAGTGACTGATTCTTTCAATCTATCTATAAACTGATGGTATGGCTCCGAATGCTGTTGCTTAATATTTACAAAGGAGCTCAGCGGTTGCCCAGAAACAGGGACTTTCCGAAGGCGCGTTGTACACAGGTCGCGGTGCGAACAAAATGTACAGGTGTCAGTGTTGCTTGGGCAGTTATATCAGCAAACTGACCAGCACCATAAAGTTCATTGGCAGTATGTTGAGGATCAGACAGGGCTGAAGCGCTATGTTTAAATTCACTCTCAAACACCACATACTGAGCAGGGGACAAAAGCATGCGCATAAGGTCTTTCCAGTCCTGAGGTAGCATAATGTAACCAGTTGCTATGCCCTCTAGCATCCCTGTCACATAAGAGGATTTCAGACCAGAATCAGCAATGGCTTTCCTTAATTCCCTCATTACAGAATAAGGAAGCGATTCATAATAAATCTGCTGTTGAGCAGATCCAGGGTTTGAATAAGAGATAGGGAAAGCAGACGGCATTTCACCTGGCCACTCAGACTCCTCCTCTAAGGACAGGAGCCCTTTTGCCTTGCCAGAGAGAGCGCAGCACGCACAGCTCCTATAGAGCAAACAGGGGCTGTGGCAGGATGAGGAGGGATGGGGGAGGAACCGGGCTGCGGCGGTGGGCGGGGGGGGGAGGATGCAGGTTGAGGAGGGTGAGACGCAGGGAGGGATTGGCTGGGCTGCAAAGGAGAAGGAGGTAAAAGTTTCGGGTAAGGGGGGGGATTGTCTGCGATGGCCAGAAGAGTGCTGGTGGCTGGCGAGACGCCATGTGGCCTAATTTAGCAACGGCATCAGCACATTTCTGCCAAGTGAGCAGACAATGAATCGGAGCCCTAGGTTCTGCAAAAGGGTCTTTCCGATCTTTTGCCAAGTCTCTACGTCCAAAGATCCAGCCTCTGGATAAAAATGCATTGGCAATTTATCTCACATAGCAATTGTTCAATTTCTTTTAAGGAAATATTAACACCCACCTCCCGCTGTCTAACTAAATAAAGCAACTCTTTAGCATGCTCTTTCTGGAGCTTAGTCAAGTCCCCTCCCATACTCACGAAGTAGCGCGCTGAGACTTTTCCAGTCGGGTGAAGTATGAGGTTTGGCTGCGTAAGGGATCTGGCACGTCGGGGTCACCAGATGTTGGGTTGAAATCACGACAGACGAATGGTGGGTGTCAAAGGAGAGGCGTCTGCCCGGGGCAAGTCCCGGGAACTCTCTTTTATTGAATATTACAAACATTGCCACAGGTGTGCTTGTGGCTGATTGGCTGATACAAACACAAAGCATCTTGTTGCTGATTGGTTAACATAGGTACAAGGCGGGCATTACATATGACATCAATCAGTGATAGTTCAAAAGACTGGGAACGGAGCTGGAACTAGACAGGCATGAAACCTCCTAATTAAATTATAACTAAAGATTGATATTGAGAGAACATAACATGAAGGAATACAACAATCACGTTCTGTAGATGTGGTCAGCAATGCATTAAGAACAGGTCAGGATACACTGTTTCATGAACTCAATGGGAACTGTTCAGAACATTCTCAGACTTATGTGCAGAGGCAAAAACTTCCCAGAATGTAAGAGAGAAAGAAGCAAGAGTTCTCATAGTAAGCATAGAAAGATTGCATAGTAAGAGTTCCCATAATGCCACAGTTATGTGCAGTAAGAGAACTGCAGAAAGAGAACTTCCCTTCAGCTGGGTAAAAGGTAAAGGACCCCTGGATGGTTAAGCCCAGTCAAAGACAACTATGAGGTTGTGGCACTCATCTTGCTTCCAGGCTGAGGGAGCTGGCGTTTGTCCACAGACAGCTTTCTGGGTCATGCGGCCAGCATGACTAAACCGCTTCTGGCGCAACGGAACACAGTGACAGAGACCAGAGCGCACAGAAACGCCATTTACCTTACCTATTTATCTACTTGCACTGGTGTGCTTTTGAACTGCTAGGTTGGCAGAAGCTGGGACAGAGCAACGGGCACTCACCCTGTGGCGGGGACTCGAACCGCCAACCTTCTGATCGGCAAGCCCAAGAGGCTCAGTGGTTTAGACCACAGCGCCACCCGCGTCCCATGTGCTTTACCATTAACACATCCACAGACTCAAGTGAGTCTGCTGCCCTCAGTTGTGCAGTCAACTTCTGTGTGCAGAATGATATTCCATGAGATCTATTCAAAATAAGTGGGGGTTGCCATATTTTGAAGAGCAAAAAAGAGGACACATTTGCGGATTTCTACTTTCAGCTATGGATTGCTATGCCGAGACTCTAATTTTACATACCCATGAAAAAGAGGATGTGCCTGGGGAAAAGAGGACATGGTGACAACCTTAAAATAAGTAGGACTGCTTCTGTAACCCATGAAATATTGCTGTGATGAAAGCATCCTCCTCTGTTTCTAATAATTCTAGCCAGCAAGGTACTCAGGGAAGTGGGCATTGGAGAATGTGATGTCATAATACTCTCCATGTATTCAGCTTGAGGCAACACAAAAGAATAAAAATAACTTATTTGGAAGATGCCCATACATTATGCAGAGAAATAAAGATCCATAATTATGCAGATGCTGTGCTTGTTTTGTTTGACTTTTCATAGCCTTCATTCTTTTTCAAGGCGTTATTTCGCTAGGCATTTATTATAACTCGTTTCCCTCTGTTCCAGGTTGAATTCTGCCATTGTTGGAACCCCCGTGACACTATTTACACAAAGCTACAAAACCACACAGACCACAGCTCTTGGAAGGAAAGGTAATGACCTAAGGCTAGGATGGGGAAGGAATTAGATTCAGGTGCCTTTCAGGGCAAGCCTATTATTATTATTATTATTATTAATTTTATTTAAGATTTTCAGTTTTATACATTTCAATAATTTTAAAATCATTTTAACATTTCAAAACTCAACTTCCTTCCCCCTCTTTCTGCAGTTCTTTAAATTTGTTTTTTTATATTTTCTGCATATTCCAAATTAGCTTAATTTACTCATTTATTCATCTACTTTAAATATATACTCTTATATAACTGCAGGCTATTACAATAATCCTGCCAACGTTCCTATCTGTTCACAGTTTCTTTGTAAATATCCCATAAACCATTTCCATTCTTTTATAAAAAATTTGTTATCTTGATTTCTTATTTTTCTGGTAAGTTTCGTCATTTCTGCATATTTTGTGTCCGTTCTTCTTTTGCTGGGACTTCTTCTTCTTTCCATTTCTGGGCAAGTAACATTCCTGCTGCTGTAGTCACATACATGAATAAATTTCTATACAGTTTGGGTGGTTCTGTCCCTATAATTTCCAAAGTCAGGGCAAACCTATTTAATGGAGTTACCCTCTCACAGTTCCCCAAATCTCTACCCCCTTACTGCACATGCATTAAACAAACTGATGAGCGTGACAATTGCCTTGGATTTTTACGTATGTAGGAAGATGCATATTTATGTATAGTGCAATGAATGCTTATGCTACTTGAAATGATGACTGAACATTATTACGGCCTCAGCCCAGTATATCTGAAGGAGTGTCTCCACCCCTATCGTTCAGCCCGCACATTGAGGTCCAGCTCCGAGGGCCTTCTCGTAGTTCCCTCACTGCAAGAAGTGAGGTTACAGTGAACCAAGCACAGGACCTTCTTGGTAGTGGCGCCTGCCTTGTGGAACGCCCTCCCATCAGATGTCAAGGAAATAAACAACTATCTGACTTTTAGAAGACATCTGAAGGCAGCCCTGTTTAGGGAAGTTTTTAATGTCTGATGTTTTATCGTGTTTTTAATATTCTGTTGGGAGCCGTCCCGAGTGGCTGGGGAAACCTAGCCGGATGGGCAAGGTATAAATAATAAATTATTATCATTATCTTCTGTTGGATCTCACACAATGGCTATGTCTGTTTCCCCTCCTTTCCCCTTCTCCACAGACATTACGTTGGTTGCTCAAGACATCACCAGTGCAAAGACCAGACAAAGAAGTCTGCCGAAGAAGATCTCAAGGAGGAAGGAGATCACCGCTAAAGACCTCGCCAATGGTGCTCCATCGGAAAAAATGTATGACCGGCCTTTGGAAGGCCTTGATCACGATCAGCTGGATTTCAAGCACGGGGGATTAATGATCACAAGTGAACACAGGCAGGATGAAGTTGAAGACGTGGAGCAAGAGAGGGCTGCAGAGGATGTGCCTGATGGAGCACAGATAAGCAAAGCTTTTGATAAACTTTGCAACATAGTGAGAGAGAGGATCAGATGCTACCAGAGACCGGAACCCAAAAGCGACTTCTATACTAAAGGGCGGTATGTACTTGTCACCGGAGAGGGGAGTTATGATGACCCCTGCTTCTACTCTTCACCCATCCCTTCTGGAGGTGGAATCACTGTCTCTGACAGCGAAGGCACGATGCCCAGTGGAGGTGTTGTAGAACCAATATCAGAGCTACCAGAACCTCTTGAGAGCGACAAAGGTGAACTCGAAGCCCAAGAAACACAAGAAGGGCCCAAGATGCCAGAAGACCTGAAATATGAGTATAAACCAGAAGAAGACAAAGCGAAGGAAGATGTCTTTGAACAGTGGGGGAAGCCTGAAGGGAAACACGAAGAGCCAGCAAAACAGCCGGGGATCGAGGAACAGGGGCCAATGACCCCAATGGGTCCGAGTGACCGAACTGAAGCAGGCGTATACATAGGCAAGGAGTATGGCAGGGCAGGTGGCCTCTCTTTCAAGGAGCTGAGCCCACCAAGCACTGTGAGTTACGAGAAAGTGGAAGTGGTGGAATCCATCGAGAAATTCTCGGACGACAAAATTCAGACGTACGAAGAAACCGCCATGATTGTGGAGACCATGATTGAGAAGACCAACAAGAAGAAGCTGGGAGACAAAAGCTCTTAATGAGCATCTCCGAAGCAGCCAGTTTATCCAGCTGTCAGTCATTAATGTGGTGTGCTCCTCAAGGCTTCTTTCTCCATAAAGTTATCACTAATAAGGTCAATGGAACTATTTCAGAGTGAGTGGGTTTGAGGACTGTAGCCTAAAAGCTATATTTTGCTTGAGTTCTTCCCAACCCCTTTCCATCTTTGGATGGAACGATAAAAATAGTGGGTTTTGTTGCTTGGAATGAAGCTGGCTTGTCCGTTAACAGCAAAATATTGAATTACATTGCTACACTTCTGAGATCTTAAACCTGATTCATGAATTACCTGCTCTGGTGCCATCTGCTTAGAACAGACCCAATTATTAGCCATGGTGGTGAAACATGTACACTGCCAGTTGCACAATGACTTCTCATGCTAACCCTCAACAAAGACTCTCCTCCCTGGAAGAGAGGGGAGTGGTTGTGGGCGGGAGCCCGAGCACCGCCCCTAGCAGGGGGCATTAGCCCCCTGCCTCCTCCTCTCACCTGGCTGGCGCCCACGCCCCCTTGGCAGGCATCCAACCAGGTGCCTTCGAGGGGAATGGCTCTAACCTCAGAAGAAGACAGCCACACCACAGAATGCAAGGTGTGAACCCCAAACAACCGGGTCTATTTAACTACCACTGCCACCCAGGTCCTAAACAGTCATTTTGAATTTAGGTCTAGTACTTTTAATTTCAAGCCAAGTTGCCCCCAATTCAGTAAGGGAGAACTAACTGTATCAAGATGGTTATAATCAAAATGTATAATCAAGGTGCCCGCCTAGACTCCAGTGAAGTGGATAAATGCAAGGGATGCAGTGAGGCAAGCACAGCCTCTTCTATGGATGCCACCAGACTTCTGCAACTGATCTGCACTGGGGCCAGTGTCCTCGGTGTCATGGCATCTGTGTGATTGTGTCAAATGTCATTGTTGGAATCAATTAACTTCCCTACTGAAGTGTTTCTTGCGCCATACTGATATCTGTTTTTCTAATTATATGGTACTCCAGCTACGTACGGTAGATGGGGACATGTAGCTGAGTTTCATTTAATAAATATTTTGCCTTCCATAGACAGTGTTTTTCAGAGGATGGGTGTTGACATTTAACCACAAGAGGCAGATTTTTTGGGGGGGATTCATTGAAACTTATTAAAGCCACAACTAGGCTTCAAACAGCCTTTGTAAATGTTGTTAAGAGACACCTAAAATGTAATCACTGGATGTGAATAGAGATGTAATACATTCAGAGGAAGGGGATCAGGCTCCTCTTTTTTCTAGGAGAGGGGCACTCAAATATTTTCATCTTTAACTAGATTTGGGGGTCTGTGTGTGTGTCAAAGAAACGAGACTAACTTGTATGTACAGCAAAATAGACTCAGATAGAATCACAGCCCTGGTCCAGAGGTGTTCTCACACAATATTGACAATGATGTCCCCTCACTGAGCAGAGAATTGATGCAATGAGCTGTGAAGGGAGAAGGGAACTTGGATTCAGTTCTTCCTCCTACCTCTTACCTGCCGAACACTTAGATAGTATCAATGGACTGTTCAGCAGCGATGATGCAGGAACATCTCTTGCCTACAGGTGGGTACTAAATGTAGGATTCTTACCAGTGCAAGCATCATGAGTCAGTGCTTTTGGGAAGCTGCTGAGGTCCCAGTTCACCAAGAGGGGCCACTCCTGATCCAACTGATCCACAGCTATAACAACTGGATTGTGCCGTGTAGCAGTGCAAGGATTAGGTTCCTATTTCTCTGTGTAATGGTGAAAGGATTGGGTCCTTCTGGCAGCACAAGCAAACCTTGGGGGTCCACTCTGGTGTGGACACCGTGCCATGCTGCCACTTACAGCAGTGACTGCTTTTGAGTTTGAGTTGAGTTGAGTAGTTCAAAACAGCTTGTTTGTCCTCTGGATGTGTGAGGTGAAAGCTGAAGAGTCCTGTGCCTTGAGATAAGTTCTCACTGGAGGCAAAGTGCTGTGCACACCATTTGGGGTGAATTGTGGAGCACAAAAGGCAAAACGGGGCAATAGCTTCACATGGCAGTGGATCCAATTTCACCCAGGAAAATGTGACCAAGTTGCTGGCAATAAACATAGGAAACTGCCACATATAATCCATCTAGCTCAGCCTTGTCTACACAATGACTGGCCGTGGCTCTCCATGATTTCAAACAGGGAATTTTTCCCAGCCCTTTCTGGAGATGCCAAGGATTGGGACCATCTGTATGCGAAACAAGTGCTCTACCACTGAGCGATCACCCTTCCCACAGGGCAAAGGAGCCTTCTGTCAGCAAGTAAAATCAACAGGTGGGCCCTGGCTCCTGAGCAGACAAAACAGTTGTGACGATTTCCCTAGAAAAGATTGCAGAATTCTTACAATTGTCAGGTTGCATTCCACAGGATTGGACTTGCCCCAAAGTTGCACCCCACAAAGTACAAAGCCTGGAAGACTTCTCCCATCTTACCCAATGGTCTAATCCAAGGCTTATTAGTGGACAGGGAAGCTCTGATGGCATTTCCTGCTTGCGAAAACCTTCTCCATTTCCAGGGAAGCAGCTCATTTGTACATGTTTATGAAAAGGGCAGTCCACACATGCAAGAACACTGTGCATGTATCTGATCAAATACAACCCATGCACACAGCCCAAGGAAGTCAATGGGAAAACTCGACTCAATATGAATGCATGGAGATTTTGCCCATATCTTGCCCTTCCAGGTGCTCATATACGAATGAATTGTTGAGGAATTCTGAAAACCTGGTCATAGCATTTGCAAGATCACCCCATTCGTATTTTGGGTTACCTAGTTACAGTGCTTGGTTTGCCCATTGGATGTTGTTCTCAGTCACTCATTAACCAGTTTTCTAATCCTTCCAAAATCTTACAAGAACTTTGCAGCTGAGGATTGCTAGGATTGCTCCCTGTGTTATTTCCTGATCTATAGGTGCCCTCCATTAGGCAATGATGTACTAATAGGGACCTCAATGAAGCTGCCTATTGTGTTTTCTTCTTCTACTGCTTAGACAGAGTTGTCTGTCTGATTTACATTGAAATATATGTCAACAGTGTCTTCAGTGGAAATTAAAAGACTGCATAAAGAACGTGCCAGTTCTCATTCACATTTTTCAGATTCTTTTCCTACATGCATGAAACTTTGCTCTGAAATAAAGCCAGTTCAAAGCTGGTTCAAACACTACACAGTAGCAAACTTGGGTTTCTGACCATATATTCTTGACCAGGGGTTATAGCCAGTCAAAAGAACATAGGAGAGAGATTTTCTGGATCTGACCTAGACCAGCATCCTGTTTCACAAAATGGTCCACCAGATGAGGACAATAGACTTCTTCCACTGTTGGGTTTCAGAAGCATGCTTCTTCTGATCATGAAGGTATCATACAGTCATCATGGCTAGTAGCCATCGGTAGCCTTGAATTTTTATGCCATTCAAGTTGCTGGCTATCACCACATTTTATAGAAGGAAACTCCATAGACTAACCATGTGCAGACTCTCCTGACTCCCTGGCAAGTCCACATGTGTTTGGTGTAGTCACATCCTAGGTGAACTACATATTACACAAGACAATCCCAACATAGCCCTTAGTGGTATTGCTGGTCTAAAACTAAATTGCTTTTGCACTCAATCTTCTAATGCAAAATATATAACGGTTTCACCACAGAGGTACCAAGAGAGATGCTGCTCTGTATATCTAGACAACAGTGACCAATGATGGATTTTGATGATCCACAGAGGCTTCATATGGATATTTTAAAAAACCATAAAGGATGAAATTGAGCCCTCTAGAAAATACATAGACAAGTGCCATGAGCTCAAGCAGAAACATAGCTGTCAACTTACAGATTTGAAAATAAGGGACCAGCAGCCTCGAAAATAAGGGATCAGCAGCCAAAATAAGGGATTTTCCAAGCACAGGTATGTTCAACTTCTGAGCCCCTCTGAGCCAAAGGCAGAAAGCCCAGCCAGCAGCCAAACGAAGCCTCAAGCGGTGGTTCCCACAGTGCAGCAACCCGGCAAAGGGGATGCAGCAAGGAAAACCACTGTCACCTCTCCGCTGGGAAGCACTGAGCAAAGGCGAGTCCCCAGGTAACACGGCCGATTTGATTGGCACAAGGCATTCAAGCCCCACCCCCCAGTCGTTCTTAGACTCCTTATTGGGTGAGCAACGCAGCCAAGCAGCACAGTTGGAGCCTCCCTCCCCCCTGGCCGGCAGGGAGGGAGGGAGAGGAGCTGCTTCCTTTGAAACCCAGGAAATTTAAGGGACATCAATAAGGGACAGCAGCGGGACACGGCGCTGGGATAAGGGAGTTTCCTGCCAAATAAGGGACGGTTGACAGCTATGAGCAGAAACTTCATTGCCACCCTCCGGAACCAACCCTGGAGATAGGAGTGACATCAATGTATCACTGTGCCTCTTGAATCTTCCCCACTGAGTTTGTCCAGCAAGTGATCATGGCTGGTGGTAGTAAATGCTGCTGAGAGATCAAGAAGAATCAACAGGGCCACATGCCTCCCAACTCTCTCCCAGCAGAGGCCACCCTACTGCAGGGATCGTCAACTTAGTGATCTCCAGGTATTGTTGGACTACAACTCCCATCACCCTTGATCATTGGCCATGCTGGCTGGGAATCATGGGAACTGTAGCCCAATAACATTGTGGGGGGCACCACATTGCCTACATCTGTGTTAGGGTGATCAAGGTTGTTTCAGTTTGGACTCCAACTGAAATGGATCCACATAAACAATTTCTATTTAAGTGCATGGATTGTCTCTGTCTCTCCAGGGGCAGAATTTGGTGAACTTTTGTAATAAGGCAATGTGTGAGGCCAAAATTTGGCTCCCCAAAATGGATCTTCTCCATTATGGATCTTCTCAATTTTGCACCCCCTCAGCTCAGCACCCTGCTCTCTCTCATACCTTGCCACAAAAGGGAATAGTTGTTGTTATGCACTGAAGTTCTCACCCTGGGCCAGCAGGGGGATACTGTAGATAGTTATGCAAATGAAGGATCGAAAGTGACGTTCAGTGATTGGATAGTTTTAGAAAGTTGCTACAGTTACGTTGTTCTGGAGCTCTATATAAGCAGGCTGACTGAGCTCTTCAGTTCAGTTCTGTTCTGGCCTCTGAATAAACAAGAGCTGTTTGAAGAATCGCTGTGTCGTCTGATATGTTCACCCACAACTTAACAGTTGTAAAAGAGGAGGAGGGGGGGAGGGAATAGTTGTACTTGAATGTTATTATAATACTCTGGGTGCAAATAAGTGTTTCTTAAGGATCACTCCCTGTTTCAAGGAGTCATTAATCATTGGCTAAGACCCCCTGGCTTGCTGGGCAAGGACTGAGAATCCAGGTGGCTGACCAGACCACCTTTTATATCAGATCTACAACCCCAAGCCAGATCAACCACATCTGATCCCAGACCACACAATTAGGCTCCGGAATGTCAGTTTTAGATATTGTTTGTTAAAGGACAATGTTTGCTCTGTGCAAAAAAAGCTTGATAGACTTGAAGAGATTGTCTCTGAGCACAGGGAAAGTTTGATAAAGTTTGACTTCCAAACAACCAAAACCAGTACTCGTGCATCTGGGCTTCCACACAGCAATTTTCATTCTACAAAGTTGACAAGTGCGATACCACATAATTGGTGATGAGCAATGATGATGGGATATGCTGCTGTACAACATCTTTTTTTTTATTTTACTCATATTATAAAACGTTTGCACGAGGCTTTAGAAGTTAACAATGTTCACTGCCTGTAAACAAGCCTAGGACACCCACTTTAAAATAAATAAATTAGAATAAATCATTATTCTTTTGCATCAGCAATACAACAAAAGGTACGCAATTTATTCTCGGTTTCTACTCTGATGCAAATAATAAAACAAAAACCATCAAATTAAGTCTGTCATATATACCATTGTTAGTAATAATATCAAAATGTGCTGTCACTCCTCAGAGTTATCGTTCAGTTCAGGTTATGAAAATATGTACACCCATTTAGTAATTTTGCTGTTATATAGGATATTTAATGTTCAAACAGAAAAGGGGAAAGTTACATCAAAGCAATGGCATCTATACATTTTCTTAAATGAAGATCCGCTTCATTTAACATTTTGAAGACCATCTAAGATGTGAATGTGATCTTTGCCTTTATCATAAGTACATGTATTTTAGAAATATATATATATATATATATATATATATATATATATATATATATATATGCAATATATTCTTACTCTTATATACAATTGGGTGTGTATATATAAATATATAACATACGATGGGTTGATGTGATATTACACATTCCATTTATACTATAGCTATTGTTGGTTACTTTAGTTTATATATTTAAATATATATGGCCTCGACCAGCAAGGGAGATCAGAACAACTGATGTATCACAATGCCGATCTGGAGGTCCGCCCCACTAAACTTGATGGAAATGCATGAATCTGATGGGGATCTGTGTGGGGTCTCTGCTTTCATGCGGGAAAGTGGCACTAGAAGCTGGTCAAAGGCCATAAGAGCAGAAGCAGAAGCAAATTCTGCTCTCAGATATGCATGTCCATATGCTCATTTAGGTTTGCTTTGTTTTTCACCCCAGATTCAGATCAAAATAGGCTGAACTCTTTCATTTTCTGGCTCTAGATTCAGCCTATAACCATTTAACTCAATGAACCCCCTATCTACACAAAGGCTTTGTCTTGTTTTCCATCAGGGCTTTGAGCATGGGATTAGAAATAGTCATATATGAATGGCTGGTGAAGATGATGGACTATGACAAAATGGCTAAATTGACCGGGAAAATCAGAAACCAGGAAGAGAAGAACTTTAAAAAGGAATGGGGGGAATTATAATGTACCTAAGAGAACGCTGTAAACAACTAAAAACTTTGGCAGGATTCGAGTAATGTTTGTAATGTACTAAAAAAACTAAGGTAAAATTGAATTATATAAGAAAAATAGAGAAAATAAGTGAAGCCGTGGGAAAAGATTGAAAATGGTAACCATTTACCATTTGGAGGGGCGTCAAAGGATTCAGGGAATCCTGAATGAGGGTGAAGATGTTTGTTGTTGGAATTTAAATTTGCAATGTAAAACTCAATTTTAAAAAAATTATTTTTTTTTAAAAAAAGAAATAATCATTTATATGAAATGCAAATCGGCTCATAGAAGGGATCAGCAGCCTTTTTATTCAAGGTGTTCTGGGTTGTTGATAAGAAGAGTTTTCCTATGGTCCGTCATGGGATATAGACTGCAGTTATTAAAACTCGAATGTCCATGCATATATCTGAGGTTAGAATTAGCCCCATATTATCCTTTGGTTTGTTTTAAGCTTACTAGCTTAAAAGGTTTATACATATCTATATATATATCTATGCTTTCCCCTCTGTAAACGAACAAGCAAAAAACCCTGAAGCACTCAAGCAAACACAGCTCCTGTCGGTCATTATACATTTCTGAAACAATGTGTTCCTCGCTTGTGAAACTCTTTATTGCATTCCATGTATCTCCAGTGGCTCCAAGACTTGCACAGAGCTCCTTTTATTTCTGAAGCATGGGAGAATTTTCAGTGTAGAATGTTCAATGCACACAATGGGTATTGTTACATTTCTTCAGCACAAATAACTCATATGTTTCTTATATTATCTTCCTGACTTGGTTTAAGCTGCACATTTTTACATATCCCATAAAGAAACAGCAGAACTGCCACTGCCCAGATCCGAGTAATTCCAAATTTTCTGGTGTACGTATTCCCTGCTTACATGTCTCCACTTATCCTAACCTGGGATCCACAGCCTTCCTAATTTATTCAGACGTATATTTAGAGACACCTTTTTAGATATCCAATATTGTGCTTTGATAAATTAGACTGTGCTAGAACACATTCCGGAGACTTGAAAGAGAAAAAAAGGAGCCAGGGTTAACAGCAGTGCTATTTTTCTGGAAAAATCGGTGCCAGAACTCACCACAAACACCTCCCTTTGAGTTCCGGTGAGTTCTAGCTGAAAGAAAAGCCCTGGTTAACAGTTAGGAGAAAACAATTCATTTGCAAACTAAGAAGCAAAACATGCTTAAACTCATGTGATGAGAAATATGCACACAAGTCCTTTTGACTCTGGGATATGCCTCTGCGTCACACCTAGAGCAGCAAGAAACAGCTGTAGGTTTCGCTGGAGTCAAGGCAAATCTCAATTAAGCAACGAGACAACTGGTTTGTTGTCAAGATTGCTCCCCCCTTTATGACACACTGGGCAATAGATATAGGACATAATATAGATTTGAATCTCTGTGGAAAACTTTGGAATGGTGATCTGAAGTTCACAGCATCTTATTCTTCAAAGGAGAACTACCTGAAAATGATTTACAGATGGTATTTAAGTCCAAGCAGACTTGCTAAAATGTACAAGTCCGAATCAGATAAGCACTGGAGATGTAACGAGGTTGAGGGTACGTTTTATCATATGTGATGTAGTTGTAAAAGGGTAAAAGAGTATTGGGAAATGATATATAATGAAGTGAAAAAAATGTTTTAAAGTACCTTTGCAAAAAAACCAGAGTCCTTTTTGTTGAGGATAATTCAGTGGGAAATTCCCAGGTGTCAAAAAAGACTATTTAAGTATGCTACTACAGCGGCCTGTTTTTTGTTAGCCCCCAAATTGAAAACGAGCGAGGTCCCAACCAAAGAAGAATGGCAACTTAAACTGATGGAATATGCGCAGCTTGCAGATTTAACATATGGAATAAGAGAACAAGAAGAACATACATTTAAAGAAGACTGGGAAATGTTTACTGACTATATGGAGGAAAATTGTGTTCATTTAAAAATGCTGGTAGCGTTAAGATAAATTCAACAGTGTAAATAAGTTTTGATGGATGTAACAATGGATTACTGAATGGTTTAGTTTATGTAAAATATGCAGGGATATATGGTATGGAAAATGAACCACAGAAAGAGGAGAAGAGAAGCCATTGATTTAAGATTGTCTAAATGAAAATTTTGAAATGTAATTTAGAAAATTTAATAAAAATTATAGAAAGATTGCTCCCCACACCCACCCAAAAGGAAGGCTCCAGTTACTACCACATTTTCGGTAAAATACTTTCTGCTGAATCACATCTCTTTGCAGGAGTCTGTTAAAGAGCTAAACTCGAATCTTGTGAGAGGAGAGCAGGGATGTGCTTACAGGCCCCACTTCTTCCAACCTCCAAAGACTAAAGGAGAAAAGCTGCAGTGGGGAGCTGGTGAAGTTCTGGCTTTCTGGAGGATTTAGAGAAGGAGGGGAAATTCCATTGTCCAAGCAGAAGTCTTTGCATGAATTGGATGATTATGCTGGATGCAACCAAACGAGCATAGGATGAAAAAGGCAGAGATTTGCCACCTGGTAATGTAAAGATTTGAAATTTCAGCTGATTCAGAGCAGCTCTTACAAGTTGCTCTTTGCTGGAGTCAGGGCTGTCTTACTCGTAGATAAGTGTGGGGCGCCAGGGCGCCAGCTTCTGGAGGGCACCAGAGAAGAGGCAGAGGCTGGACGCGGCGCCTCCTGGCATCAGCTTGCCACCTTCGCCTGCCTCCGCCATGTGGCACCAAAGCAGCGCCGTGCCCGGAGCCTTCGTCTGCCGTGGCCACCGCGGCACAAAGCAGCCAGCTGAGCCGGGAGGCGCCACGTCTAGCCTCTGCCTCTTCCCCACCGGAGGAGCTGCCCTCCAGCCACTGCCCACCACCTCCAGCCCCGCCAGCAGTGCCATCCTCCCTAAAAGAAGGTAGACAACTCTGGGAAATGGGGGGGGGGGGCGCCAGAGGGAGCTTTGCACCACAGCGCCGGATATGCTTAAGACGGCCCTGGCTGGAGTCACCCACCACCGTGGCAACATCTGTGTTTAACTTGCTTTTCTAGAAAGGCCAGAGATTTTAGATGATTCGAGTCAGGCTCTTATAAACCACAAACACTAATGTAAGTGGCTGCATGATTTTAATTCCAAGGTCATGTCGCAGCCAAAACTATATGAACTTTTAAGTCTGCTTTGTCTCCACGGGAGACATTTAAGCACACGTGTCACTTGTCCCATTTAAATTAATAAGACCCAAAAGAGCTTAAATTGGGTTGAAGGGTGCCACAATTATTCCCTCAGGTTATAAATGAGTTTCCTAATATATATCCCAATCAAAAAGTAGCGTTATGAGATGCACCATGATCATGAAATAATGACAACCAGCCATCCTTTTCATCGGTGAAGTGTGTCTGTCTTTCTCATTATTAACATTCAGGTGGGATTTAAACACCTTCCTGTCCACTTTCCTGTCCCTTGATGGCTGAAATATACAGTTTCAGTGGCAACCCTGGCATTTTCAGCTCTGAGGATATTTGATTTCAACGTTTTGTATTGTTTTGCTGCTTTATTGGATTATTCCTTCAGCAGCAAAGACATTTATTGACTGTACGGATAACCAAATATGTTATAATTTTAACATTGCTTTGTCGTACTGAAGCATCTTTGACAATGCTTTTGGAATTGGGTGGCTCCAATTCATTCTTCAGTTCCAAAAAATTCAGATGAAGTTGTGACTTCATGATAATTTCTAGAATGCAGCACACAAGGGATTGTGAGGCTGCTAAGGACCCACAGTCCAATACAAAACCGGGAGGGAGTGTTTTAAAGGCCTCTCTGCACTGGTATCCCAAGAGCCATTGGGATGGGGGGAAGGGTATGGCACAGACCACCAAGCTTTCCTAGAATCTCTCCCCCCTCCACTGCCCCCACCTACGATGGTACGGTCTGGCACGGTCTGGCAGCGAGGGACTGTGCTTTACCTGTTCCCATGCTGAAGCTGCCCTGCAATACCTAGCAAGGCCCAGGGGCTGGGATAAGAAGAAGAAAAAGGTAAAGGACCCCTGGACGGTTAAGTCCAGTCAAAGGCCACTATGGGGTTGCGGTGCTCAGGCCAAAGGAGCTGGCATTTGTCCACAGATAGCTTTCTGGGTCATGTGACCAGCATGACTAAACCGTTTCTGGTGCAACGGGACACCATGACGGAAACCAGAGTGCACGGAACCACTGTTTCCCTTCCTGCCACAGCAGTACCTATTTCTCTACTTGCACTGGTGTGCTTTCGAACTGCTGGTTGGCAGGAGCTGGGACAGAGCAATGGGAGCTCACCCTGTTGCGGGGGTTCAAACTGCCGACCTTACTGGCAAGCCCAAGAGGCTCAGTGGTTTAGTCCACAGCGCCCCTGTAGCTCCATAGCCCCATACAGATGTAGAATAGGAGTAGCTCAACACCACCCTCTCTGCACCACGCTGGAGCTTTTGTGGAGTGGGCAGGGGCGGACCTACATTTTGGGGGCTCTGAAGCTTGAACTGTTATGAGGCCCTCCTTGCAACCAGCAATGAGGTCTGGGTAACCATGGTTATCATCTTCAATGGGGTTGTTCCTTGGCAGGTCACCAAACCTTTACAACATCTGTGCTACTGAGTCTCAAACTTTGGGATTGTTGAAATATATACCCCCTCCCCCAGAAAAATTAAGTTGTGCGACTTAAATTGGGCCTACTAGACCCAAAGTTTTTAAGCAATGTGGACTAAACTTGCTTCTGAGGCCACTCCAGGATTAGGGGCCTTGAAGTTTAAGCTTCATCAGTTTCATAGTAGATCTGCTCCTGGCATTCGGATGGCTTCAAAATTACTTAGCAGGTTCGATCTGACAGCAATTTTGCTTCAAAACACCCCACTTTGCTCCAATCAATGTGATTATTCTAGAGACAGTTCCTTAAGGATTGCGGCTTCTCTCTATTTCACATACCTTCCTCCCATCTTCCTAGGAAACTATTCAAAATGCTAGTCTTAAAGGGATTGAATTGTATTGATACTGGCGATCTTTTGCACAACCTGATCTACCCAAGAGAGCTATGATGAAGCAAAAGACATTTATTCTTTACCAGCCCTGCCCCTCAAATGCAGATGGATGGATTTCTCCAGCTGACAGTTCCACTAAAATACATACAAGGATCTGGGAGGAGAACCAGGATTGGGAAACATTAGAACTCTTTGAGGACGCTTTGTCCTCAGGTTCCAAACTCTTTTTTCCAGTGAGTACATGTCTATTCAAAGTAAGTCCCACTGAGTGTAATGGGACTTAGTCTCGGGAAATCAAGTAGTCGTACCTTGGATCCCTAACACCTTGGTACTCAGACGTTTTGGCTCCTGAACACCACAAACTCGAAAGTGAATGTTCTTTGGAATCAAACGTTCAACAGGGGTTCCACTGCTTCCAATTGACTGCAGAAGCTTCCTGCAGCCAATCAGAAGCCATGCCTTGGTTTCCAACATTTTGGAAATCAAACGGAATCGAATGGATTCCGTTCGACTTCCAAGGTACGACTGTACAGTCATACCTCGGGATAAATACGCTTCAGGTTGAGCGCGTTTGGGTTGTGCTCCACGGCGACCCGGAAGTAATGGAGCGTGTTACTTCTGGGTTTCGCCGCTCGCGCATGCGCAGACGGTCAAAATGATGTCACGCGCATGCGCGGAAGCAGCAAAACGCAAACTGCACGTCTAACGTTATGTTCAGGATGCGAACAAGGCTCCGGAACGGATCCCGTTCGCATCCTGAGGTACCACTGTACTAGAGTCTTAAGTGCAAAATAGCATAAGGCAGGACCTGCGCTCTGTAACCTCCTTCAGCTTATGAATCTGGTTTTTTTTGTTTTTGAACATGTGTTTGAACATATATTGGGCCCAACTACACTATTCCCACTTTTTTTAAAAAAAGCATGCTTAAATTACCCACTTTTGGGGGGAAGGAAACAAAGCCTTTGAGGGCAAATGTTCCTCAGCAGAAAATTGCTATGGGTTCCCATTCTGGATCAGAACCCCACCGTTGCTATTCCTTCCAGTCAAAAGCGGTGAATTAAAGCATGCTATTCTTTTTTAAAAAGCACGAACAATATTGCAGGTGATTTGGTCCTGTGACAACTGGTTTTGTTTTGCCACGATTACAGCTGCCATGGCAGTATTTCAGGAAGTCAGAACTGCCAGTTTTGAACATTCAGCTATCTAAGCAGATAGATAAAATGCCAAGTGATGCGTTCTCTGCAAAAACAGTAAGAGGAAAAGGATCACAGCTGGTTGGTTGGATACTTTTCACATGACATAAAAAAAAAGAACACCCCAACCCCAAATCGAAGATAGTTTAGTTACAGTCATTCACACTTACAAAGTAGTTGGTAGATAATAATAATAATATATTTGTGGCTCAGAATTCAAAAGTTTTCACTGTAATTAAGTTAGACAATGCAGATAATTGGGGGGGAAACCAGGGAGTTAGGATAATGTTCTAAAGACAATAACTGGAATATGCCTAATGTTTAGGAAAGGAAATGGGGAAAGGATGCTGTCTGACATGCAAAGCAGAGCTAGTTCTTGTTCAATATACTCTTCAAGCTTCTCTCTACAGCTTCATCTAATTCTTCTTCCAACTCTTCCTTCTTGGACATGGCCAATTTAGACTGGTAATCTTTTACTATTTGGTCTATGTAGGGTGCACTTTGAGTTCCATGTAGCATTAATGTCCACTCCTTGAGGACTCCCTTCTGAGGCAGGAGACCAACAAACCCAACTTCCAGAACCCAAGTACCCCTGGGGTCTTCTCCCCAAGAATGTGTTGTCATGAAAGGCCATTTGTCAAAGCCCACCTTGGAATCATCATCTCTGGGACGCCGACTCAGCAAAATGGATTTCGTCCCCATCGGGGATGTCATGTTGACATTCAAGTCCCCTCTCCTGGTAGAGTTCACTGTTATGACGGCCTGGACGTGTTCAAGGTAACGGACAAAGTTCTCCTTCCCCTCGCAAGCATCAGTCGTAAGAGTCAGAACCAACTTGCCACTGGATGGTATTTTCCTGGGGTGTACAAATAAATGAAATAGTTTTGAATGCCACGTTTTTCGTAGCACATCTGTTTACCAGAGCATATTCACTACGGCTTTGTGCATGAATACTGAAAGTATTGCAACAAGATCATTATTAACCAGAGAGTGTCACATTTCCATATAGCTAATGGTTAAATCAGGCATAGGCAAACTTGGCCCTCCAGATGTTTTGGGACTACAACTCCCATCACCCCTAGCTAACAGGACCAGTGGTCAGGGATGATGGGAATTGTAGTCTCAAAACAGCTGGAGGGCCAAGTTTGCCTATGCCTGGGTTAAATGTTGGTTTTTGAAGACTTCAAAACAGATGAGGTTATGTAATGAAAGGGAATATAATTCCTCCTTCCATACTACCTGCCCACGGACTCACCAGAATGGTGCAGGCTCTAGTTATCTGTCGCTTGGACTACTTCAATGCGCTCTATGTGGGGCTACCTTTGAAGGTGACCTGAAAACTACAACTAATCCAGAATGCGGCAGCTATACTGGTGATTGGGAGCAGCCGCCGAGATCTACAGTGGCTCCCAGTGCATTTCCAAGTAGAATTCAAAGTATTGGTGCTGACCTTTAAAGCCCTAAACGGCCTCGGTCCAGTATACCTGGAGGAGCGTCTCCACCCCCATTGTTCTACCTGGACATTGAGGTCCAGTGCTGAGGACCTTCTGGTGGTTCCCTCGCTGCGAGAAACCAAGTTACAGGGAACCAGGCAGAGGGCCTTCTTGGTAGTGGCACCTGCCCTGTGGAATGCCGTTCCACCAGATGTCAAAGAGAAAAACAACTACCAGACTTTTAGAAGACATCTGAAGGCAGCCCTGTTTAGGGAAGCTTTTAATGTTTAATAGACTATTGTATTTTAATATTCTGTTGGAAGCCGCCCAGGGTGGCTGGGGAAACCCAGTCAGATGGACAGGGTATAAATAATAAATTATTATTATTATTATTATTATTATTACTATTACTGGGGCATGGCTCTTGCCAACCCCTAAAGTCATCCATGATTCCTATCCTTGACTTTGATTCAACTACCTACCCTACGCACACACATACTGTGGGTGTGGTTGGGTGTCATCTCTGGAACAAGTTTTAAACCCATAGCCTAGCCTAGCACCATGGACCAAAGTCTGGGTACAGTTGTGGGATTGTGTCAGTGGCCTGACTGGTTGTCACAATGCTCGGGGGGGGTGTGTGTTGTAGGATAATTAATTTTGCCATTTGCTTTCTCAAGACTTACTTAATATATTTTCTTGTTTCTAGACATAGCACCCAAGGTGGCCAACCCCAAAAAAGCAAGAAAACAGATATCGATAGCTGACTGACAGATGTGGGCCAATAAGAAAAAAACTTATTCAAATCAAATAGCAATAAAATACCAGAGAGAGAGAGCGCACATCAAAATATTTGAAGATGAGTCATAAATATATCAAGTCAGCTTGACAAGACTGAGGCATTATGGCAAATGGCCATTAGAGGAGAGGCTATTTAATTCCCCCTTAGTGTCTGCTGAGCATTGAAACCACCATGGTAGCTTATTAAGACAAGCCTAGTTGCCTGTGCAATAGCTTTCCTTATTCCCACTTAGAGAAAAACATTACTTGTATGTTTTGTTGTCAATGATGTAATCACACAATCAAATTTGGTTTGAGACCTGGATCCATCATGTAACCATGCTTAATATATGATCCCTGATTGGTTGAAATCAGGACTCCCTGGTCCTGAATGGGGTAACTGTGCCTCTGAAGGACCAGGTGCACAGCCTGGGAGTCATTTTGGACTCACAGCTGTCCATGGAGGTGCAGGTTAATTCTGTGTCCAGGGCAGCTGACTGGGAGTGGTCACCAAGACAATATAACGCTGATCCTGAAAAACCTACATTGGCTCCCAGTACGATTCCAAGCACAATTCAAAGTGTTGGTGCTGACCTTTAAAGCCCTAAACAGCATCAGCTCAGTATACCTGAAGAAGCATCTCCACCCCCTTCGTTCAGCCTGGACACTGAGGTCCAGCACTGAGGGTCTTCTGGCGGTTCCCTCCCTGTGAGAAGTGAGGTTACAGGGAACCAGGCAGAGGGTCTTCTCGGTAGTGGCGCCTGCCCTGTGGAATGCTCTCCCATCAGATGTCAAGGAAATAAACAACTATCTGACTTTAAAAGACATCTGAAGGCCGCCCTGTTTAGCAAAGTTTTAAATGTTTGATGTCTTATTGCTTTTTATTATTGATAATAATATTCTGTTTGGAGC